AGGGGAGCGTGCTCTGCTTCCCAGGGTACCCATGCTACTCCCTGGGCTATGTGAGCCCCCCCTTGGGGTGCCCACACTATTCCTGGGGGTGCCCACACCATCCCTGGGATGCCCACTCTGCTTCCTGGGATGCCCAGGCTACTTCCCGGGGTTCCCACTCTGCTTCCTGAGGGACTCACACCACTCCCCGGGGTACCCAAACTCCCACTCAGGGTGCCCATGCTGCTCCTGGGGGTGCCCACACTATCCCTGGGATGCCCACTCTGCTTCCTGGGATGCTCAGGCCACTTCCCAGGGTTCCTGCTCCGCTCCCTGGGGAAGCTGCTCCACTTCCCAGGGTACCCAGGCTGCTCCCTGGGCTAGCCCAGCTCCCACTCTGAGTGCCCATCCTACTTCCCAGGGTGTCCATGCCATCCGTAGGGTATCCACTCCACTTCCCTGGATGCCCAAACCACTCCCTGGGATAGCCCAGCTCCCACTGGGGGGGGGTCCCTGCTGCTCCCTGGGATGCCCACGCCATTCCCTGGATGCCCAAACTGCTCCCTGGGTGCCCCAACTGCCCCTGGGGGTGCCCAGGCTGCACCTCCATGCTCCCCTTGCACCTCTCCGGTGCCCACCTCCCTCCTGGATTCCCGCCCCACCTCTCACCAGTGTCCAGGGAAGCTGGGGGGGTTTGGAGGCGACTGAGCCATGGGAGCTGGGATTTCACCCCGGCTGGGCTCTGTGGGTTTTCCGTGGGATGGGATTGTCCGTGGCTGCCGGACTGGGAGTGTCCCATCACGTCTGGGCCTCTCCAAGAGCACCAAATCATGGAATCTCTGGAGCACTAAAGCTGAAAAGGACTTTTAAGGTCGTGGAGCCTGATGATTAACCCGGCACTGCCGAGGCCACCACGGAGCCCTGTCCCCAAGTGCCACATCCAAAGGGATTTGAAATCCCTCCAGGGATGGGGACTCCGCCACTGTGCCAGGGCTGGATGGCGCTTTCCAGGAAGGAATTTTCCTCAATATCCAACCTGACCCTCCCCTGGCACAGCTTGAGGCCGTTTCCCCTTGGCCTGTCCCTTGTTCCCTGGAGCAGAGCCCGACCCCCCCTGGCTCCAACCTCCTTCCACAGAATTTTAGGGAGCCAGAAGGTCCCCCCCGATCCCCCTTTTCTCCAGGATGAGCCCCCCCAGCTCCCTCAGGAATTCTCCAGCCCCTTCCCCAGCTCCATTCCCTTCCCTGCACACAGCAGCTTTGGGGAAAATCCCATCCCGGAGCAGCGATCCCAAGAACCCCCGGGAGCCTCCGGCAGCCCCGAGGCCGCTACGAAACACTAAAGGAACTGAAAATGTGAGAAATGGGAAGGATTTGTGTGGAAATACAGCTGGAAGGGAGCGCAGAGCTTCGGGACAGTTCAGTGCTGCCTCTTCTCCAGGCTCCCATCTGCTGTCAAAGCCCTGGAAAATGAATTCATCCCTATTTATAACGGGATGACGGGAGCAGCGAGGGCTGGGGAACATCCTCAGGGACGAAAATAAGCGGGAAGAGCCGCCAGTGCTGGGAACACCCACTAAAAATATCCTTCCCTGAAGTCAACGCCCCCTGACCACCAACCTTGGACCTTGGGACAACATTCCTGGCGGTGGTGATGCAATGAGGACCCACTTGGGGCAGAAAACGTGGTTTTGTGGGGTGTTAGAGAACGGGAATTTAGAATTTATTTCTCTTAGTTCCGGTGCTGGATAATTTGGGATGTGCTGCTGCATCCCCCGATCCCGTCCTCTCCTGCTTTCCAAAAATTTTTACAAAAATATTGTAAATACTTTTCAGTTAAAACATGGGAAAGTTTCAGTTATTTCCATGATTTTGGTGTTCCTCGTGAACTCTCCAGTCGTGGGTCCAGACCTCCGAAATTCCCCTTTTCCCAGCTTTTTTTTTGGCTTACGGTTTTCCGACCAAATAAACCCTTTTTGGTGGCGATTTTCCAAGGAGAACAGTCAGGTTTTCCCAGAGTGGATTCTCCGGTGTCTGTGGTTGTGGGGAGGTGGACATGGAATGACATCTCCACATCTGGGATACCCTGGCCTTGTTCCCACTGTTTTGCTTCCCGACATCCTGGAATTAGCTCCTCCTCACCGGCATCATTCGGGATCGCTGGCGGAAAAGGACCAAAAAAAAAAAGCCAAGTAAAAACCACGAACTTCATCCCTGCAAACGCAAAACCCGGGAATATCGAGCCCTTTCAACCTGGATATCTAATCCCAGCAGGATGCAGGGAATTCGGATGGAAACAAGGCAGCTGGAGGTACTTTCCTGGAAAGGCTGGCACCAGGCACTGCGGCTCATTTGGGATGTTGGCCAAGGAATGGGATGAATCCTCGGGCACTTGGGCTGACACATCCGTGGGAAATCCCAACTCCCCGCCAAGGGATCAAAGCCCAAATCCAGACCACGCAACTCCAGGGCTGGAAATGGGATTCCCCAAATATTTCCTCCCCTTTTCCCCCCTTGGCATTTTGGCTCATCAAACAACTCATGGCACGAGACGCCGGATTGGGATCCTGGAGAGCGGCGACGTCGGGGTCTCGTCATCCAAGGACCGGGAATTTTTGGGAAGAGGAGATTATTTTACAGTCGAATCAAGTGGGGGAAAAAAAAAAGCGCTTTGGAGGGATTGGGAGGCACCAACAGGACTGGCAGTTTCCTGTTTTTCCAGGATGTTTGGATGCCTCTGGCTGGGTTTCCTGCAGGAGCTGGCACTGGAAGAGTTTTTCACTTGTTCCTGGCACGGCCTCAGGTCTGGGGATGGGTGAGCGGGTTGTGGAACAGCCCTGTTTCCTGGGATTCTGCTTCAAGGAGTTGATGTTTCCAGGAACTCCCTCCAGGCACTTGGGGATGTTCCAAGGCCAGGGATCCACCCCAGCAGAGCAGATTCCCCCTGGGGTGTTCTGGGGGCACAGGAATTGGGGCAGGTGACTTTTAGGACGAAGGGTTTTATCTCTGAGAGTCTCAGCACGTTGTGCTCCTGTTCCCATGGTGATCCCATTCCCCCCGTGCTTCCATCTCCACTGTATTTCCACTCCCATCATGCTCCCATTCCCACTGTGCTTCCATCTCCATCATGCTCCTGTCTCTACTGTGCTCCCATCCCTGTGTTTCCATCCCTATCATGTTCCCATCCCAAACTATGCTTCCATCCCCACGGTGCTTCCATCCCCATTGTGTTTCCATCCCCACTGTGTTTCCATCCCCATCATGTTCCCATCTTCATCCTGCTTCCATCCCCACAGTGTTTCCATCCCTACCATGCTTCCATCCTCACTGTGCTCCCATTCCCACTGCGTTTCCATCCCCATCCCACCTTGATCCCAGCCCTCCTGGCTGGACACTGCTCCATCCCAGCCGATTCTCGCTCCATCCATGCCAGGGATCAGCTCATCCCTGCTGTGCATCCCAGCCATGCATCATTCCATCCTTTCCCTGCTTCCCATCCCAGCCCTGCACTGCTCCATCCCATCTGTGCATCACATCCTGGCCATCCATGGCTTCATCCCGACCATCCCTCACTCTCACATCCCATCCATCCCTCACCTCATCCCAGCCATCCCTCACTCCATCCCAGCCATCCATTGCTCCATCCCAGCCATCCCTCACCTCATCCCAGCCATCCATCTCTCCATCCCAGCCATCTCTCACTCCATCCCAGCCATCTCTCACTCCATCCCAGCCATCCATTGCTCCATCCCAGCCATCCCTCACCTCATCCCAGCCATCCATCTCTCCATCCCAACCATCCCTCGCTCCATCCCAATCATCCATCTCTCCATCCCAGCCATCCGTCTCTCCATCCCAATCATCCATCTCTCCATCCCAATCATCCATTTCTCCATCCCAGCCATCCATCACATCCCAGCCATCCCTCACTCCATCCCACCCATCCATCAAATCCCAGCCATCCCTCTCTCCATCCCAGCTCTCTCTCCATCCCGGCCATCCCTCTCTCCATCCCGCCCATCCATCCCCCTATCCCAGCCGTGACCCCTCCATCCTGGCCCTACTCTGTGTTATCCCCACTGCACCTCTCTCCATCCCAGCACTGGATCATCACCTCTCCGTGCTGGCTCCCATCGGGATACAGGTGCTTCCAGCAGCTGGGGTCATGGATGAGCCATTCCCACTCTCCAGCAGGGATCCTGGTGCCGGCACAACCTTGGAGAAACCAGGAAAGGGGCGAGACTTTAACACCCCGTTGGGAAATCGGCCTCAAGCTGAGGCCGAAGGGGAAAAGCAAAGCCATAACTCACAATCCCGGGATGCTGGATCCCAGCTGCAGCCTCCAGAGGAGGGAAAACCCCCAGGAACCAGCTGGAGGACTCATGGAGCATATGGAATTTTTCATGTCCAGCTGGAAAGTGAAGGGAGGAAGGAGGGGGTGGGGAAATGCAGCAGCTGGTGGCCGGATGGAGCCGGGGCTGGAGGAGCTGCTCCAAGTGACCACAAGGATGCTGGAAATAGAGTTTTCCTTTTTCCATCCCCTGTAGGAGCTGCTCCAAGTGACCACAGAGATTCCAAAAATAGTTTTCCCTTTCTCCATTCCCTGGATATGCTCCAAGTGACCACAGAGATGCTGCAAATCGAGTTTTCCCTTTTCCATCCCCTGTAGGAGCTGCTCCGAGTGACCACAAAGATTCCAAAAATAGAGTTTTCCTTTTCTCCATTCCCTGAGATGCTCCAAGTGACCACAGAGATGCTGGAAATCGAGTTTTCCCTTTCTCAATTCCCAGGAGGAACTGCTCCAAGTGACCACAAACATGCTGGAAATACAGTTTTCCTCTTCCCATTCCCTGGAGATGCTCCAGGTGACCACAGGGATGCTGGAAATCGAGTTTTCCCTTTTCCATCCCCTGGAGGAGCTGCTCTGAGTGACCACAAAGATTCCAAAAATAGAGTTTTCCCTTTCTCCACTCCCTGGAGAAGCTGCTCCAAGTGACCACAAGGATGCCAGGGATAGTTTTCCCTTTCTAATTCCTGTGTACAGACACAGCCATCCCGGATTATTTCTGGAGGCTGGATGAGGCTCTCCCAGCTCCAGGGCAGCATCCAATCCCTACCTCCACCCCTAGCCAGGATTTCCTGGAATCACGGGATGGTTTGGGTTGGAAGGGACCATAAAGCCCATCCAGCTCCAGCCGTGGGCAGGGATACCTTCTGCTATCCCAGCTTGCTCCAGCCTGGTCTTGGACACTTCCAGGGACGTTCCCGGCGGTTTCCCGGTGTCCCGGTTGCGATTCCATGTGTTTTCCATCCCTCTCCAGCGCGATGCAGCCGCCCCAAGGCCGTGGCCAACGCCCACATCGAGGTGGGGAACAACACGGGGCTCCACTCCCTGCTGCGCTATTCCTGCGACCCGGGATACAAGCGGAAAGCCGGGACTTCCAACCTCATCCAGTGCGTCCTCCGGGATGGATCCGCCCGGCCCGGCTGGACCGACCCCACGCTCCAGTGCATCCGTGAGCTCCCTGTGGGAATCGGGAACTGGGGAGTGGGAATTCCACTGCCGAGGGATGCAGGGAGGGGGTTGTATTCCCCGTTCAGCGTTTTGGGAGGAGATTTAATCCCTGGAATAAGTAATGGATGACGGGACGCGCTCCGGGGGTTGGAAAAGCAAATCCAAAGGTTAGGGCTCGCCGGATTCGGCGCTCCCGGAGCCGGGGGGAAAAAAAAGATGGGAAAAAAGATCCATCTGGGGAAAAAAAAGATGGTAGAAGGACTGAAAACGGGGATTAACTGGAATTAATTAATTAGAATTAATTAGAGAATTAATAACCAACAGAGGATGGAATATTAATTAATGAACTGACGGACCAATTACCACTAATTGCTAAAAGCAGTTAAAAGTTTGGATAATTGATGGATATTTTTGTGGAGTGACCCCCCAGTCCCTCGTATTGGATGATGCCCCTTTCCCATCCCAACAAACCGGGGTCGGAGGGTTTATTCCCTGTTTTCTTGGCGGTGTTTTCCCACAGGAGACCCGGCGGCTCCTCTTCCACAAACCCCCGTCCCCGCGATCCCGACGGAGCCGCGCACGGAGAGCACCACCCGGAGGGGTGAGCAACTCAAAAATTTCGGGATTTTCGGGGGCCACAAACCACCC